TGCTGACAATGAAGGTGTCGAACAAATGAACCCAACTCTTTCTTTTGCAAGGCCCTCGAGTAAAGATAAGCAAAAGGAAGCAAAGAGAAAAGGAAAGTCCCAAGATCCGATACGTGCACAATTTGCTAGTGAAATAGCAAGAATGAATGAAAACCAATGTCGTCAGGAAGAAGAATCAGCCCAAATGCGTTTGACCATGAAGGAAGAAGGGGATAGGGAGCAATAAAGGTTCAAAATTAATTTGATGATGGAGAACCTCGACAAATACACTCCAGAGAGGAAGAAATACTTACGTGGTAAGCAAAAGGACATTTTACGAAAGAATGCCACAAGAAGTATATTTCAAGATGATGATTCATCTCAAGACTATCACCCAAGTCCATCACCAAGTCAAGATGGTGGATATCATTATTAAGTTTATGTAGTTTATGAGTTTTCGATTGTATTAAGTTTATGTGGTTTATTAATTGTTTTTTTTTAATTTTTTTTTAAAGTTTATGTGGTTTATTACTTGTCATTTGTATTAAGTTTATGTGGTTTATTAAATGCCGTTTGTATTAAGTTTATGTGGTTATCATGATTTTCATGTATTGATTTAGTGATTTTTCAAAATTTGTCGGAGTTTAAATATTTTTAGGTTAAAATGTTCATAAAATTAATTTAGGATAGTCTACATAATTTTTTTTAAAAAAAAAATTATTTAAAAAAAATTAGCCTTAATTCATTCTTTGATAATCTGGGGCTAAAATTTTAGACCAGAAGGGTTGGAGTAGAAAAACTGTTTCTGGGTTAAAACCTAAATTTTATGGGCTAAATATTTTTAGGTTTTAGGTCACCATTGGAGATGGTCTAAGACTATATTATGACTAACTTATTGAAATATATATATAAAGTGAGAGCCCTAGTTTGGTGAAACTTTCCAAAATGCCAAAAATGTTCATTTGTTTCCTTCACAATCAAAACCCAAAAATTTCAAAAAAAAAAGAAGGACAAACTGGTAAAAAACAATATCTCAACAAAAAACTGTATTGGAAAAAAAAATAAATAAAAGAAAAAGAAAAAAGAAAATGGAATTTCAAACCTGATCAAGAGCCCACGTAGTGAGAAAGTGATTGCTAATTGATCTTCATAAAAAAAAAGAAAAAAAAAAGTAGATAAATACATAAGGTGAGAGATACACTTAAAAAGAACCAATAAAAAAATGAAAAATGAAATAAAATTGGAAACAAACGTGGGATTGTGGAAGATACTACAGTTTTCAAACTGCTTTCAGTAATTGAATAAAAAATAAAAAAGAAACCTAATACGTTTACAGTTAGAACTGCTATTCTGTAGTTGAAGGCTTGAACCGTGTAATGGGAGCAGTTTTGTGGAACGCAAATGTGCATGAAAATAAAAGCAAACGTGGGATATGAAGCAGTTTTGAGGGAGGAGATGTAAATAAAACACACTAATTTCAAATTTTTCAGATTCTGACTCAGTCGCTCAGATATTTCCTTCCACCCTTTTCTTCCTTTTGTCTTCTTTGGCTTTTAATTTCTATCTCCATTGTTATCCTGCGTTTTAATTTCAAATTCTGGGATAGTTTCTATCAAATATCAATCCAAGTGCATTGTAGGAAGGCGGAGCATCATATGGCCAGTTTTAAAGGTAACGTCCCGGAATCTATTGCTTAATTTATATTTTTCTTATGGGCTGTGATGTGATTTTGTTCATATTTTATGCAATTGATCACTAGGAATTTGAAGACGAAGAGACGGGGAAGAATTGGTACTCTTGGTACTCTATTCCCGAAAGTTTTTGGAATTTTTTATTTTGGCAAAACCGAAACTCAGAAGTTTCTCTTTATTGTCATTACGGGACCTTAATAATTTGCCCCTTTTCTTTGAATATGTTTTTTAGTCTTGATCAGAATTGAACATATTAATTATACATGCTATGCAATTTTAATTGATAAGGAGAAGAATGATTTCTTTTGTTTTCTGTTACACCATATGTTCAACAACAATGATGTAGCCGGGTTTGCTATACAAATATGTTTTATTTTTTTTGGAAAGTTACAAATATGTTTTCTTTGGTACACCGTAGGTTCAAACATGAAGAAAAGGAAAGGTGAGAACAGCGGAATAGGTGGCTTTTTGCTTTTGGGTTTTTTAACTTCTTCCTTTGAAATCTTCATTGTGCATTTTTTAAATTTTGGTCAGATTGTGAGTTTCAATTTTGATTATCTTAATGTGCTATACGTGGGCTATGGTAATTTAAAAAATGATTTGTTTTCATTCTCATGATATTTACAAGATTACCCACAAAAAAAATGAAGAATGAACTACCTATTGATAAGATCCCAAACAGACGTGTCTCTATTTTTACACTTGGCTGGGAGATATCTGTCGGAGTAAAAACTACTGATCTAAGCCAACTGATTCTCAAAGAGTGGAAAAAAAAGAAACATGAGCAGTATGTATCCTAAACTCTTTATTAAATTTGTTACAAGAAATCTAACATTATATATAACTTTAATATATAAATGGCACATGAAAAAGGTTGTGGAAGAATTAAAACCTTCAACAACTCCTCACATCATACAAATTTGGAATAAAGTCCAACAAATTAGATACAACACATTTTCTTACCTATTTATTTTTAATGGCATTCTCTATTCTACAAATTAATTATCACAAATTATAAAATAAAATAAAAATTTATGGGTGCAGGAAAAAGATTAATAGCGACCAAACAACTTTTCTAAATACGGTATGACACACTCTGACCAAGATCGAGGCATGTTGGCCGTCAAGTGAGGGTGACGTAGCCATGTGCATAGTGCGGAAGCGATAAGGATAAGAAATATACGAATAAATAAAAACCGAAAGCTACTAATGTGCACTAATAAGCAGGAAGTGCTAGGAGTGAGATACAAGTGTAAATACACCTAATCAGAGCATAGAAAGTCTAGGTGCAGTCCAGTAGGACAAGTACTAGTTATACAGTACCAGAAGATGTCCTACTAATTTTTATTATGTTAGAACCGCCGAGATCCTCAATGCCACCAACAACAAGTTTACCTAAAACCTGGAGGGACGCAAAACAGAAAGTGTGTGGGCAAAAACAAATGTTTTGAGAACACATTTAACTTTCAAAAGCTCTAACCCCTCATCAAAAAACATGTATACTTTTTCCCAGAAATAGAATATAAACATATACATATATCTATATATATCAATTCAAATCATGCTACACATATTCATAATCATAAGTATGCCATGCCAAGATATTAATAGGATAAGTAACTCAGGTGAAAATAAATTCATAGAAAATAATACATTAGCCGGAACCCCTGCAGAAGTCTGTACGGCTGAATTCATAGCTCATTAGACAATCTAGCCGGAGTCACTGCAAATGACCTATACGGCACTACACTGCACATGAGTCGGAACCACTGTAATGGTCTGTACGACAGGACTAGGTGTAATATAGTTATGCTCAGTGCTACTCTCTTATGATAGCTGTGCGATAAATCGCTAGTCACCTACGAGTCGGAACCACGTATAATGGTATGTACGACAAGACTGTGCACCTAAACTCGATCCAATGTGAGCATATGGTGCGGGAGGTGACATTATATACAGGCCTGTGCCATATCTCTGACTAATCACTAACACCGGGGTGCAGGTTTATGAGTTCTATGCTTCTCAATTAATCACAACCGTTATTCACATTCACAGTTCATAAACTCACCTGGGCTTACCTGAGCGTCCATAGCACCAAAATTATATATATATTTATATATTAATCAAGTATATAAGTATATACTGAAAACCAAAAGCCCACTCACTGGTATGTCGAAGGGTCGTAGCCCCCGAGTCGGCCTTGACTGCGCTCGTCCTCAGGATAAGTCTCCCATATATAACTATAAAAACGTTAATTTAAAGCACATAACCAATACTAGCTAATAACTTCTCATACATTTCTCAAATGAGGTATATAAATATACCATCGTGATCTACACAACTCCAAGAACATCCCCAAAATTTTAAAATAATTTTCCAACTGCCCACGCACCGGCAAGGGCACGGCAACACGCGCGGCCACGCACATGGATCCTAACGGAATCCCCTAACCCCGTTAGGAATATTCCGTTAAAAAGTAACGGAAGCCGTTAGGAATATTCTGTCAAAGTTGACGGAATATTCTGTCATCCCCTACCTTCGAACTCCAACGACTGTCGCCATTGCCAGAAACTGTAAAATTTTCAAACCTTCATTTCTCATCCGTTTCTCAACCAAATTTCACAAATTATAAACCAAAATGAAGCTTAAGATAAGTAGAACAAACCCTTACCAGTTTTAGGACCTAAAACTCACGGGATCTTGCTGGCAAAATCCACGATAATCCGGCCAAACTTAAAACTCGCCAATCTCCAATTCCTGACGTCCAAATCGCTTGGTTTTTCTTATCCTAACTTTGTGAGGATGATTCAAAGCTCCCTATGTCCTTAAAAACTCCTAAAAACCTCACATTAATTAGTGCATGAACATTGCATGAAATCTGGGTTTATGGTTTCTCAGGATTTTAAGGGTTTCAAGATTTAAAAATGGCATATATGAACTCAGGGAATTGTAAGGAGTTCGAATCTCACCTTCTTGATGTCGATCCGTGCATGAAATGTGAGTTTGACATTCGTCCATACGTTTTGTACGAAAATGGTAGGAAGGCCGAGAGAAGGAGAGAGATAGCACGGGGTGTTTTTTGTGTGTGTGTGTCCTTACTTGGTCATCAACCAAAACAACCAAAAGTTTAATTTTTACTTGACTCCAAAACTTAGGAACTCAACATAATAGTCTACATCCCAAAAGCATGTCACACACATCACAATCTTAACATCCAAGGGTAAAATCATCATTTCACAACGTCGAAACTAAATATTTCGAGACGGGCTGTGACAATCTACCCACCTTATAAAATTTCGTCCTCGAAATTATACATAACAAATACATCCACTAATAGTCATAAAACAAGCGTTGATATATCTCTCTCATCTGATCCTCTGTCTCCCAAGTAGCTTCTTCTACTGAGCGATTTCTCCACAAAACTTTCACCAAATGCACTGTTTTATTCCTCAGCTCCTTATCCTTCCAATCCAATATAGTCACTGGCTTCTCATCATAAGTTAAATCCAGATTAATTTCTAAAGGTTGAGGAGGAATCACATGAGAATGATCTGAGACATAATGTCGAAGCATCGAAACATGAAACACATCATGAACTTTGGACAACTCTAGAGGCAACTCAAGCCTGTAAGCAACCTTACTGACTTGCTCGGTGATCATATACGATCCAATGTACCTAGGACTTAGCTTGCCTTTCTTTTCGAACCGCACAACACCTTTCCATGGTGATAGCTTCAGAAATACCCAATTACCTACATTATACATCCGGTCAGTGGCATGCTTGTCTGCTAAACTCTTTTGTCGATCTTGGACCGCTTTCAGGTTAGACTTAATTACCTGAATATTCTGGGTAGTTTCATCCACAATCTTCAGGCCTACCAAAATTCTTTCGCCAACTTCTGACCAGCATAATGGCTTTCGACAAGACTTGCCATAATGTGCCTCAAAATGTGCCATACCAATACTTGAGATAATACTTCAACTGCTGAAAACTTTGCTTACAATTATCATCCCACTCAAACTTAACATCTTTCATGGTCAACCTCGTCAATGGTAAAGTAATCATTGAAAAATCCTTAACAAACAGTCTATAATAGCATGCTAGGCCAAGAAAACTTTGTACCTCAATGACGGTTTGATGTTGCTCCCAATTCTCCACAGCTGCCACTTTTTGAGAATCCACTCGGATACCTTAAGCTGATATAACATGTCCCAAAAATGCCACTTGATCTAACCAGAATTGGCATTTGCTAAACTTAGCATATAACTGATGTTCCCTCAAACTTTTCAACACCAATTTAAGATGTCTACCAGGCTCTGCTCTAGTCTTAGAGTATACCAAAATATCGTCAATAAAAACAATGACAAACCTGTCCAATTAGGGCTAGAATACTTGATTCATTAAATCCATGAAAGTTGCTGGTGCAGTTAACCCGAATGGCTTCATAAGAAACTTATAATGACCATATCGAGTCCCGAAAGTTGTTTTAGGGACATCTTCACTTCTAATCTTCAACTGGTAGTAACCAAACCTCAAGTCAATCTTAGAGAACACACAGGCACCTCAGAGTTGATCAAACAAATCATTTATACGAGGCAATGGATAACGGTTCTTAATTGTTACCCGATTCAATTACCTATAATCAATGCACAACCTCAAGGTTCCATCTTTCTTCATCATAAATAAAATTGGAGCTCCCCAAGGTGAAGTACTAGGTTGAATAAAACCTTTATCTACTAAATTCTTACAACTGAACTTTCAATTCCCTTAATTCAGCAGGAGCCATTCTATAATGAGTCAAAGATATAGGATTCGTACCTGGAAGCAGATCAATAACGAACTCCACATCTCTGTTTGGCGGCAATCCAGGTATATCGTCAGGGAACACATTTGAAAAATGCTTGACCACATGCACATCCTCCACAATACTAGGAGCATCATCATTTAACACCACATGAGCCAAATATCCTTGACAACCTTTCGATAACAATCTTTTGGCTTTCATGGTAGAAATAACACCATGCCTCACCTCGCTAGGCTTTCCTACAAATGTAACTTCAGGTAATCCAGGACGATGAAGGTGACTGCCTTTCCATAGCAATCTATCTTAGCATGATTATAATGTAACCAATCAGTGCCAAAATCACATCAAAATCAACAATGTCTAATGGAATAAGATTAGCTGGCATAGCAACATCCTCCACCATCACTGGACATCCTGGATATACCCGATCCACATAACATCTCTCCCCTCTAGGCATAGAAAATTCTAAATTATATCCTAGAGTTGTAGGATGAGGTTGCATCACTTGAGCAAATGTATGAGAAACAACAGAATGCGTATCACCACAATCAATCAATACTCTAGCAAAATGACTAAGAATATTTAACGTACCCATGATTAAATTAGGATTGTTCTGAGCATCTTGCAGTGTCATGTTATGGATACGTCCATGATTCTGCTGTCGTCTACCACGACCTCTACTAGCATGAACACCACGTCCTTGTCTTGGCTGACCAGACTGCCTCGAAGATCCTGCACTGCTAGCAGTAATCTCTACCTACTGGGGCTATCCCCTTTGGTACCACTAGGATCCACCTGCTGAATGTGGCTGATAGGGCATAAAACCGCCCTGATACTAAGGGTAACCACCCTGATAATGAGGGTCTTGCGAATACTGATACTGCCCTGAAGTATAAGGAGCGGCGTCGCCCTGATAATGATAAGCACCACCACGACCAGTCTGGCCATAACCACTAGATCCTGAAGTTTGCTGGGTTAGTGCAGGTGATGGTAAGGAAGGCTGTTGGGGCCTCTGCTGATTCTGAGGGCAATGCGCAGCCCTATGCCCTATCTGTCCACAAGCATAACATGCACTGCTGCCTCTCCTACACTCCCCGAAATGCCTATTGTTACATCTGCAGCATAAAAGAGCACCTGAACCACCAAAGTCCCTCTGCTTCTGAAATCTTGGGCCTTTAGAAAATCTACCACCTCTCCTCAGCATATTAGAGCTCAAGCCTCCACTAGAAGAGGTGAAACTAACACCACTTCTCTTAAAACTCTGGCTCTTACGAGGTCCTTGAGATGATTGACCTTTACCTTTATCATCTTGCCTCTGGTTCCCGTTTTTTTCTTTTTCATCTTCACTTTCACTGGGCATGTTCTCTGAGTCCTCAATCTGCAGTAAAACTTCATAAAACTCCTGGTAAGTGGCACAGGGAGTCAATGTCGCTATAGAACACCATTTCTTCTTAGTACCCAACCGAAAATGACGAAGCATCTCAACTGGATTAGCAACAACCTCCGGATCATATCGAGATAAATCAGTGAACCTCCTGTAATACTCATTCGCCGTCATTTTTCCTTGTTTCAGATGCGTAAACTCTTATTTCTTGCGATCAATATACTCAGGGGGAATGAACCTTTTTCGAAACAACTGTTTAAACACTTCCTAATCGGCTACTACCTTTGGTGGCATCTGATATGACTCCTATCTCCACCAGGATGCAGGCTCTGGACCCAAAAACCAAGTAGTCGTCTCGACCCACCTATCAGAAGGAAGATTCCCCTGACTTTGCATCACAAGGAAAGTTTTCTCAACATGATTAAGTGATAAGCTCATATTTATATATATTTTACATAAATTCACTTGTCTTTTCTTAGTTAGTTCCTTATATTTTTGAGCTATTTACTATGTTTTTTTTGTTTTGTGTGATTTATCAAGCAAAGAAAAGAAAAGTAGCACAAGTGAGTTATTAAGTAACAAATTCGTCAAAACTGCCTGTGCAGATTAGCTGACTTTGGAAGCATGTTATGAACAGCTCAGAATGAATGAGAGAATGAACCTTATATGCTTGGAAAGTTACGGATGTCTATTTTCTGGAGAAATTTACGGATTGTTAATATCATTCTTCTAGAAGAAGTTATGGGCATTGTAACACTGAAAGGTTTAGAAAAGGGCTAAGCAGATTTGGCTAATGAAGTGAGAAAGTAAAGGCACTTGTTTTGTGTTTTGCTTTGTCATCAACACTCAGCAGCAAATAGGGTTATGATTGCACTCATTTGGCTTTGGAGCAAGTGGAAATGCACAGCTAGAAGATGAACAAGGCACATGGAAGAAACATGGACAGCACACACACAAAGAGAAAGGCATGGCATGGACAGTTTGACATGGGCAGAAAATGGGTGGATTGTTGGCTGAAATAATGAAGAATATGTGCATGCAAATGCAAAGGAAAAACACACACACATGGGCAAAGGAAACACACACACATGGGCAGAAAATGGGTTGATTTGTGGTTGAAATGATGGAGGTCATGTGTGTGCAAATGTAAAGGGAAACATGGACATCACACACCCATACAAACTGCACATGCAAGGAATTGAAGTGGTCCTCTCCTTAGCCTATAAATACATCCACCATTCCCCTTCCTAAAAACAATCTTGATCCATCAAAAGAGCTTCATTCACAAACACAATTTCCTTGTAGTGACCTCCATCCATTCATCTAGCCATACTACATCTCACCAATCCATACACTTTCATCTCTTAGCCGTGCAAATCCATTCATCATTCATCTAGCCATACTACATCTCACCAATCCATACACTTTCATCTCTTAGCCGTGCAAATCCATTCCATCCATATATCCATACACATCCTAGACACTTGTGCTACAACAAGGTGGTGAAAACAAAGGTCCTTGGCGTTTCAAGCTTGGAACTTTGGAGCGTTTTAGGTGTACTTCGTTCTTGCTTTCAATGTCTACTTTGTTATTTTCTAATTTTGTTGCAACTATGAGTGGCTAAACCCCTATTTAGTTAGGGGGAAGTTTGAAGCCATGAACATGCTTGAGATATGAATTGATTTCTTCCAATTGTGATTTGATAAGTTGTGATTGCAATTCAATTATCTATTTTATTCATAACTGATTCTTGTATGTTTATTAAGGATGCATACTTAGTTTTCATGCATGAATTAGATGCTAGAATATAAATGAGTTTCACCTAATCGTTACAAGTTTATATTCATGAGTAGTGAAGGTTGTTTATCACAATCGTTTTAATTGAATTCTTGGCAAATGTATCATGCATTCATAGTTATAATTGCCTCGTCAACACTTATGATTTTCATTGCACGTAATGATCTCTGATTGTATCTCTATTATGCATTCATATAGGGGACTTTTAGAGAATGATTTGGGTTGTTGCATGCATTCATCCAACTCAATGAGTAAAGGAAAATCTGAGGGTTAATTTGTGCATCACGGTTAATCCGGGGTGTTGAGTATCATGGTTTATTGAAAAGCAATTGGAAATCGATTCATGTACAAGTATGTCATGTGTGGAGAAGAACCTCGTAGCTAGCCTTCCATCCATTCAATTTACTCAAATTTGTGCAGATTTCATTAGTTCTTTAATTTACTTGTTTTGTTTTCAAATTCGTCAAAACCAAAACGCCCTTTACTTTAAAGTGTTTTATTAGTCAAAATCTATTTTGATTTGTGTTTTTAGGTGTCCCAAAAGTGTGTTAGAGTCCAAATCTACCCAGTTTGTGTTTTTAGGCAGATTTGAGCGTTTTTAGCTTGTTTTGAGTCCTTTGAGTTTGTTTTAAGTTCTTTGAGTCTAGTTTAGTGTTTTTAACTTTGTTTATATATTTTTAAGTCAGTTTAGAGGTTTTAGCAAGCCCTCCTAATCCCCGGTTTAGAATGATCCCTACTTGCATTTATACTACAATTTGACAACAAGAGGGTTTAATTTGTGTGCTAAGTTAATTTTCGCATCATTAAGCCACTTTTCCGCTCCTTCATGTCCTTCATTACCCATGAAATGATTCAGCTTCAAGTTATACACAATCTCAAGAGGTGTCATTTGAGGAGGACGGAACGAAGACTGAATGGCATTAACTATAGCTTCCCATAATTGGGCAATATCAGGGAAACTAGGCTCAGTT